CCGGGGCCATAACGGGAACGGCGAAAGCAACATCATCGAAGACATTGGCAAATCCAGACTCAAACATCAAGTCTAAAAACTCTTAGGGGTCATCCGATTCTTGTCTTTGTTCTAAGAAGTACAAAGCCCACTCGTAATCTCCCTGCTCTGTGAACGGAACAAACCCACGGTCATCATCCTCACTATTCTCTTGAAAAACGGTGACGTCCGGCGATGGCAACCCGGGAACAGCTACCAACTCCATACCATGCGGCACTTGAGGAGCGGAGGGAAAAACCACACTCCTGTCAGCGGGGGAGGGGGCATACACTGTCGAAAGAACGACGCTGCTCGCAGCGGGCGGGATATTGATCACAGACGATGGCACTACGCTGTTTGCAGCGGGCGGGAAACCATACACCGTGGAAGGTACTACGCCGGCTGCAGCGGGCGAAAAATTCGACACGGGGGCATATCTGTGGGCGGTGGGGTCACCAGAATGTACTACGCTGTTGGGAGCGGGCGGGAAACCAGAGACGAGGGTCGGCACAACGCTTGTCGGGGCGGATGGAAGCACGACACTGCTGACAGTGGGCGGGAACCTAGACACCGTTGGAGGTACTACACTGCCGGCGCTGGCGACAGTGGGCGGGAAACGAGAAAAAGAGGAAGAGGGCATGTACGCTACACCTTGGGGAGAATGCTGCATGCGGGGGATTGCATGCATTGTTGCAACACCAGTCACACTCACAACGTCTCCAGAGCGAGGGGGAGGCGGGGGTAACGGCGTCATCACGGGCACAGCAATTGGCGTCGTGTAATCGGGCGGTAGACGAGTCGCTCTCAAGGATGAACCGCGCTCGCCACGGGGAAAAGTTAATTCACCGTTAAACAGGTGGATACCTATAGGATCCATCTTAATTCGTTGCCCTCCCATGGCCTTGTGGAGCGAAAACAAATTGTAACCCATTCCCTCAACGTGATGCACGTTGGTGAGTTTCACGCAAAAATCGCTTCCACCATTGTGAAACTTGACATTCAGGCTGCCGATACCAAGCACAGGCATCGTCCT